TTCGAATATTTAATTATTGTCTTATCAGCAGAAAAGATTCTTTTTTATCATCACATCAATCGGATCCGATATCCACCAGATATAGCCAAATACGAATGGTGTTAGGGTCATCAATAATCCCTGATATTATATTTGCATCAAATGGGCTATCGCTATTTCAAAGAGAAGGAAATCTTCCAAATTGAGGCTCACTTTTGCTTTCATCACTTTAGTGGGAATCTGTAACATCCCTCAGCAAAATAATTCATAATGATTCAGAGTTATCATTAGACTCACGTCATTTTTACTGTGAATCTATCTCCCGGACTGTAAAAAGGATACCTCAATATCACATCAAAGTGGATATGTTTAGAACCATAAAGCTAAAAGCCGGCCACAATATAGTATGAGCACTAATACTGAGGGAAAATATTCTTTGACCTTATCTATACGATGCTGATTATTGTCGGAAAGTTGTAAGTACACCAGACTATCCAATACTCAGATCAAGTGAGTAAGGCGCGACCCGTCAGTTGTGGTGACCAAATCAAGAATCATGTCACCTATACAAACATAAATCTTTTGAGCTACGATGCTAGTTCATTCTTTCTCTATTTGCCAAGAGTCAGGTGATTGGATTTATTTTCAAAATGGAATATCGACAATTATCACATACGACTTAAATTTGGGAACCATCACGCATGAACAACACTCCCTCGCACTATTGAACCTCTGATTACCAGTCCTAGATTTGGGGAAGAGAACTACAATCTATATGGTCTATGGAAGATCAATGTAGTATTATCCCAATTAATTTCAATCTAGTATTGTTTCTGACGATATCCAATATCTATTCCATGAGGGCAACATCAGATAATACCAGACACATGACAAGTTTATGGATGGTGTTGATCAATTCGAAAATTATTATGACTTGTAATGAGCCTATAATCTCGTTCCATCGTCCGTCGAGCGAAGAAATAGATTAATTTTCATCATTTCATGAGAGTTATCCTTGCAAAAATGGGGTGTTTTGTTTAGTACGAGCCAATAAAAACTAGTATCCCAATCTAATGTCCCCGTATTATGGTGCTATGACCTACTCGTGTGTGTTTACACATGTGAAAAGGATGATGCTCTGGGAACCACCCCATTTTTGTCCTAGTGGATTACGAAAATTATGGGTATTAAAGGCGCTCCCATCTCATTCTTTGTTCTGTATCTTTTCTAACACAGACAGGTCAAAATTTTCGGAACAACGCTCACCAGCTTTGCAACACGCCTTCACAATCAACTCATACATATACTCACAATCATACTCACGACCACACTCACAACCATACTCACAACCATACTCACTGTCCAAATTTCCGACTCTAGCTTTAGAAATTCAGCTTCTAGCTGATTATTATCCGAGCTATTACGCTTGACTAACTTTAACCCACTCTCATCTTGTTCTACAGACTCGCATTCCAACCATTCATCGAACCCACCCAGACTCGTTACATCTATTGATACACTTAACACCAGTGAATCGGATAGCCGGAAATATTTTCAGCTTACAGTAAGATATCTTAAAGTAATCTTCATACGAGGGTAAATGTCTTCGTGTTTTAAAGACTAATCATTTGTGGATCAGCTATTAACATAAACATCATCAATCTCTCCAACAAGCAACCAACTGTCTAGCCTCACAAAGACATTCATATAAACCTTTATAAACTATAAACTATAATCTTTAACTTTTAAACTTGAAACCTTAAACTATAAATTTTTGACCATCCCTTACTCTTCTATTGAACCTCATAGCTCTATATTATAAATTTGAGCCTGATTACTTGAGTAACTTGCAAAAAGAGATAAAGTCATTGATAGAAATTATAACCAAGTATCTTGGTCTCTTGATCTCTTGGATAATTATTTCGTTTAATACTCTGCAAACACTAAATTCTACAACCTTATAACCCTTTGTACTCTTCAATCCATACTAGTATCTATCCAAGCAACTAGAGAATCACACACTCAGGTAATTTTATCATGAAAACCTGATAGATGTGTTAACCTAAGTTTCCTACCATCGATAGTTACGTCTTGAGGTCCAGATTTCCTAAGACATATTATAAAATACTTATTTTTTGTAACCTTGAAAAATGGATTTTGTCATGGAATTTCCTTACGCATGTATGGCTTTGAGTGCCGAAAGCTCTCCTCGTCCCTATCCAGCCGAGTTAATTAACACGCCGGATGGACCATACATTGTTGGTACTGGAGCTCCACTCGGATTCTTTACCAGTGTATCATTTGACGAACCTGCCATCATCTCGACCCAGTTGGGCACCTTGAAAAAGAAAGCGTGGCCGACAAGCCTGTTAGATCTCCCACGTCCTTTTGATCATATTGACGTGCGGACAAAGGCGAAGAAGGCCGCCATCTTTTTCATTGAAGAGTTTAAGGTAGATAACGTTCGTCATATGATGGCACCAACTTCGTTGCAGGATCTGTTCCAAGGATTCGATGCGGTAGGACTGTACATGTATGGCATTGAGTTTTGCTACTTTTTTATGTGCTACATCGGTAAGTTCGCTCAAGAATACCGGAGCAAGATGAATCAAATGATTGATTCATACACCAAAAACCTCGTGGAAAAGAATAAGATAGATTTGATACAGCTACCACGAGTCGATAATGGGAAGGAAGAAAGGATTCTACATCGAGATCGATATCGATATAAAGTCACCGAAGAGATGGATACAAAGGAGAAGGACTTCTTTTGGGAGCGAGTCCATCACTACAGAAAGATACTTCTTGATGATGAAAGACTAAATCCACTGAAAAGACTCCTCGATCCGTCATCTTCTAGCAAATGGCCGTTTCCTCATGACAATCGGACTCGGTCTAAAAGATACGAACCTGAAGCTCGGCGGAACTCGGAGCAAAACCGATCGATCAATGAATCCAATAGTCCATCGTCAGTTACATCGCCAAGCTAATCTTTAGAAAGTGTGCATCAGCTGACAGTTACTATCTAGGGACTTATTCACGAACCCGATGTGTCGTTTGGAACTAGAGAATCCTTCTCCTAAGAAATATACTCGGGGATCGTCATTCATGATATTCAATAAATGTAAAAACTGCAAAAGAAATCAAGATGGAAATGAAACATTGATAATCATCACTGAGTCGGATGAACCAGCTGTGAACAATGAGTGGTCGGGAATTCCAAAACCAAAATTATCAACGCCGCTTGCATCCGAACGGATCTTCTCGTCTACTGCATCAAGTAAAAGGGACCCGAAGTCGACTTATATTCCACATGTCCGATCTTTAGATCTTGTTGGTGGTAAATCGAAGATTCCGCGATTGAAGCGCCCGAAATTTCAAGCCGCCATTTCCTGCTCAACCCGACCCAGAAAGAAGCCAGCGAAATGGAATGAATCAAATGAAAGAAAAGAAAATTTCACAGCAGCTACTGTGCAGTCGAAAAATATCCGAAAGCCAAATTTATCAGTTCCATCTCAAAAGGTTTCTCCATCCAAACCTGATAGATTTAAAAAAACTCACGCTCCCTGCGCAGTGGTAGAGCCTATCAAAAAGACTGGTCAAGTAAATCGAGTATGGCAAAAGAAAGCTCGGGTATAGCTTCTATTGTATAGAGTGATCGGGATATTGGAGAAACAATGAAGTTATTTCAGGATACAGAAGGTCGTAGCATTATTAATGGCGGCAGTTTGGAGTTGATCGGTGCAAATTACATTGTGAAGTATTTTGCAAATGTAAGATGGGTAAATTTTGGCAATGGATAGGATCAAAGGAGTTATAGGTGCGCAGGTTTTAGTTTTGTAGAATAAATATAATTTTTGGTAGAAATAACGCTCCATTAAAATTTTGTGAAAGGTTTTGAGTGATACCTTCTGATGATTCAGGATGTAGAGTAGATACCTCTTCCGTGCACTGCATGTGGTTCAACTTTCTTGTTGATCTTGTGACTCTCTGTATGAGCTCGAAAGACCACCATACATAGTAAGATGGCTATGAGATCAACAGATCGAACAATATGACTTTTGGGCTGGTTGGGGTGATGGTTAAAACGTGTGTTTTATTATATTATTTGTTAGAATGTAGAATAATTGGGGCTATCAAGTAGGTTACGTTATTGATACACACGTGATTGCAAATTCTGTACTTAGTTTCACTTCGGTAGTTGCCTGAATCAATGCACTTTACAACCTCAATGACTGAGGGATGATTATTTCCTTAATATTAAGTAATAATTGTCGTGCAATAACACCAGATGTGACATTTTGACTATATGAAGGGTGCAGAGTCAAGTTCTCAAGCCCCTGAGTGAAATTTTGTATTGTACTATGTTATGTTATTTCTAAAGTGCGGATGCGTCACCAGTGGTTGATTTATATATATATATTTAGGACTCGCAATTTCTTGTCGTGTGAACGAGATAACGCTTTAAGGGCAGTAAGCTTTGGCGTCTATGTCCATTACTACGTAGGCAACACGGACCCAAGTTTCGGCTCAGCATCTCCATTACCGTTAAATAATATAATAAAACACACGTTTTAACCATCACCCCAACCAGCCCAAAAGTCATATTGTTCGATCTGTTGATCTCATAGCCATCTTACTATGTATGGTGGTCTTTCGAGCTCATACAGAGAGTCACAAGATCAACAAGAAAGTTGAACCACATGCAGTGCACGGAAGAGGTATCTACTCTACATCCTGAATCATCAGAAGGTATCACTCAAAACCTTTCACAAAATTTTAATGGAGCGTTATTTCTACCAAAAATTATATTTATTCTACAAAACTAAAACCTGCGCACCTATAACTCCTTTGATCCTATCCATTGCCAAAATTTACCCATCTTACATTTGCAAAATACTTCACAATGTAATTTGCACCGATCAACTCCAAACTGCCGCCATTAATAATGCTACGACCTTCTGTATCCTGAAATAACTTCATTGTTTCTCCAATATCCCGATCACTCTATACAATAGAAGCTATACCCGAGCTTTCTTTTGCCATACTCGATTTACTTGACCAGTCTTTTTGATAGGCTCTACCACTGCGCAGGGAGCGTGAGTTTTTTTAAATCTATCAGGTTTGGATGGAGAAACCTTTTGAGATGGAACTGATAAATTTGGCTTTCGGATATTTTTCGACTGCACAGTAGCTGCTGTGAAATTTTCTTTTCTTTCATTTGATTCATTCCATTTCGCTGGCTTCTTTCTGGGTCGGGTTGAGCAGGAAATGGCGGCTTGAAATTTCGGGCGCTTCAATCGCGGAATCTTCGATTTACCACCAACAAGATCTAAAGATCGGACATGTGGAATATAAGTCGACTTCGGGTCCCTTTTACTTGATGCAGTAGACGAGAAGATCCGTTCGGATGCAAGCGGCGTTGATAATTTTGGTTTTGGAATTCCCGACCACTCATTGTTCACAGCTGGTTCATCCGACTCAGTGATGATTATCAATGTTTCATTTCCATCTTGATTTCTTTTGCAGTTTTTACATTTATTGAATATCATGAATGACGATCCCCGAGTATATTTCTTAGGAGAAGGATTCTCTAGTTCCAAACGACACATCGGGTTCGTGAATAAGTCCCTAGATAGTAACTGTCAGCTGATGCACACTTTCTAAAGATTAGCTTGGCGATGTAACTGACGATGGACTATTGGATTCATTGATCGATCGGTTTTGCTCCGAGTTCCGCCGAGCTTCAGGTTCGTATCTTTTAGACCGAGTCCGATTGTCATGAGGAAACGGCCATTTGCTAGAAGATGACGGATCGAGGAGTCTTTTCAGTGGATTTAGTCTTTCATCATCAAGAAGTATCTTTCTGTAGTGATGGACTCGCTCCCAAAAGAAGTCCTTCTCCTTTGTATCCATCTCTTCGGTGACTTTATATCGATATCGATCTCGATGTAGAATCCTTTCTTCCTTCCCATTATCGACTCGTGGTAGCTGTATCAAATCTATCTTATTCTTTTCCACGAGGTTTTTGGTGTATGAATCAATCATTTGATTCATCTTGCTCCGGTATTCTTGAGCGAACTTACCGATGTAGCACATAAAAAAGTAGCAAAACTCAATGCCATACATGTACAGTCCTACCGCATCGAATCCTTGGAACAGATCCTGCAACGAAGTTGGTGCCATCATATGACGAACGTTATCTACCTTAAACTCTTCAATGAAAAAGATGGCGGCCTTCTTCGCCTTTGTCCGCACGTCAATATGATCAAAAGGACGTGGGAGATCTAACAGGCTTGTCGGCCACGCTTTCTTTTTCAAGGTGCCCAACTGGGTCGAGATGATGGCAGGTTCGTCAAATGATACACTGGTAAAGAATCCGAGTGGAGCTCCAGTACCAACAATGTATGGTCCATCCGGCGTGTTAATTAACTCGGCTGGATAGGGACGAGGAGAGCTTTCGGCACTCAAAGCCATACATGCGTAAGGAAATTCCATGACAAAATCCATTTTTCAAGGTTACAAAAAATAAGTATTTTATAATATGTCTTAGGAAATCTGGACCTCAAGACGTAACTATCGATGGTAGGAAACTTAGGTTAACACATCTATCAGGTTTTCATGATAAAATTACCTGAGTGTGTGATTCTCTAGTTGCTTGGATAGATACTAGTATGGATTGAAGAGTACAAAGGGTTATAAGGTTGTAGAATTTAGTGTTTGCAGAGTATTAAACGAAATAATTATCCAAGAGATCAAGAGACCAAGATACTTGGTTATAATTTCTATCAATGACTTTATCTCTTTTTGCAAGTTACTCAAGTAATCAGGCTCAAATTTATAATATAGAGCTATGAGGTTCAATAGAAGAGTAAGGGATGGTCAAAAATTTATAGTTTAAGGTTTCAAGTTTAAAAGTTAAAGATTATAGTTTATAGTTTATAAAGGTTTATATGAATGTCTTTGTGAGGCTAGACAGTTGGTTGCTTGTTGGAGAGATTGATGATGTTTATGTTAATAGCTGATCCACAAATGATTAGTCTTTAAAACACGAAGACATTTACCCTCGTATGAAGATTACTTTAAGATATCTTACTGTAAGCTGAAAATATTTCCGGCTATCCGATTCACTGGTGTTAAGTGTATCAATAGATGTAACGAGTCTGGGTGGGTTCGATGAATGGTTGGAATGCGAGTCTGTAGAACAAGATGAGAGTGGGTTAAAGTTAGTCAAGCGTAATAGCTCGGATAATAATCAGCTAGAAGCTGAATTTCTAAAGCTAGAGTCGGAAATTTGGACAGTGAGTATGGTTGTGAGTATGGTTGTGAGTGTGGTCGTGAGTATGATTGTGAGTATATGTATGAGTTGATTGTGAAGGCGTGTTGCAAAGCTGGTGAGCGTTGTTCCGAAAATTTTGACCTGTCTGTGTTAGAAAAGATACAGAACAAAGAATGAGATGGGAGCGCCTTTAATACCCATAATTTTCGTAATCCACTAGGACAAAAATGGGGTGGTTCCCAGAGCATCATCCTTTTCACATGTGTAAACACACACGAGTAGGTCATAGCACCATAATACGGGGACATTAGATTGGGATACTAGTTTTTATTGGCTCGTACTAAACAAAACACCCCATTTTTGCAAGGATAACTCCCATGAAATGATGAAAATTAATCTATTTTTTCGCTCGACGGACGGTGGAACGAGATTATAGGCTCATTACCAGTCATAATAATTTTCGAATCGATCAATACCATCCATAAACTTGTCATGTGTCTCGTATCATCTGATGTTGCCCTCACGGAATAGATATTGGATATCGTCAGAAACAATACTAGAGTGAAATTAATTGGGATAATACTACATTGATCTTCCATAGACCATATAGATTGTAGTTCCCTTCCACAAATCTCGAATCTAAGAATAAAAGGTTAATGGTAGGATTATGCTCACTTATAGTTTTATACTTTGAGGGTTGGAAATTATGCTTCGCATATAAGTATAGAATATGTTCGTACAGAAGTTCAAAAACAATCGCTAGAGATTCGGTGATTGCCAATGAAATGAACTGTAGTCGTAGCTCGTATCATGAGAGGTCGTCTAGATTGTACGATCCTTGATCTGATTATTTCAAGTGACTGATCGCTCCTCCCTCTCTTGATCTTGGAACTGGGAATTTTAAGTGTTCTTGCAACTTATCGTCAATATGCGTATTGTATAGATTTGATTAAAGAATAGGATCGATCATTTTCTATCCCATACTATCTGATGGTCGTATTTCCAGTCTATGATTCTCAATAATCCGATTATATCTGATCAAAAGCTCTACTTTTTACAATCCCAGAAATTTATTCACAGTGATAAAGACGTAAGTACGTTTACAAGCCTAAATTAGGTGGTATCCCTTTTTGACAGACGTTCCAGATTTACATTGAACAGACAAAAGACAGATTGAGTTTCTGATATAAGAGAATATTCTTTTCCTTTGAATGACTGATGTATACTTTCAGTTACAACACAATGGATGACTGATAAGGCTAATACGATTCATACTTAGTTATATTTGGTGGATTTTAGTGATGAGTTATATTTTGGTGAAATAGAACTATTTATGCTGAGTAGATGGTCGTTATTTGTTTTCACAACATCCATAAAACCAAATAAAGTTCGAAATAATAATGATATTACTAAATACGCATTTTAAAGGTGTATAAGAGTGCCGTCTGCCTTGTCGCATTATTTTTAAACCCCCATCTTATAACCCTCTTATATGCTTTGAAAACTTCTAGATATTGCTAAATTATGGATGAATGTAACGGCTGGTAAGCTGATTTGTCCCTGTAGTGCATGTTGGGCAACATGAGCCTGGCCTGACATTGGTAGCGCACCATTGATCGACATCAATGCGCGGATATATAATGCAACTCAGCAGAATATCAAGGCATTGGCGTCTAGTTTGGCAGGGCAGTAGTTATTGACCATACAGCTACAACACATTGAGATGTTACAAGAAGTAGGGTCAACACATCTGAAGAATCCCATTGGAACCGAGACGGAGGGACTGTGCCTCAAACACATAGACAATGTATATATATGTATAGATAGAGACTGAAGTAGTTTTCTATTCAGAATGATGATTTACATACTATCGACCACATAGTTGCACCAGGGCCTGTTCCTTGACCCATGACAATGAAGAGATTTTGTGGCATAGATGTAAGGCGATAGATGTGTCTTTTTCTTAATTGTTTATTATTTAATGTATAATGTGTTGAGTTGTGACTTTATTTGCGCCTTGCGCAAGCCCTTAATTGATAGGACATCCCACAGGTAGATGATCCAGAAAGACTCGATACTTCTCATGAGTTCAATTTTTACGCGATCAGAAACCGAAAAGTTATCACAATGTCTAGATCTGGTTCTATGCACCCAGCCTATGTTTCCCAACATGATTTACGAATATTTTGTTCTCTACTACTCACTCTTTGCTTACACCAAAAGCTGATGTTTGAATAAAGTCACTTGTCTACTCCTCTTTCCACAAACAGAACCATGGCGCATCATTTTTTGAAAGTTTCGGCAGTACTATCTGAAATTTCGACCTTGGCGCCAATAATCATTCAAATGCTGATACTGACGAGAATCAGTTTGCCCGGAATGCCTATCAATGACTTTTCCTTCTTTCGCTCCACTTATAAACAACCAATCATTTCTTCATCTCTTGTTCAGTATCGTGGTATAATCCCACATAAGTTAAAGCTCAAACTTCGATATAGATGACTGATTTCACTCTTTAGAGACTTCTGTAGCTCAGTAAACATTTGGTGCAAATTTGTCGATGGTAAATGGGACAAGTCTAGGTCTGAAATTTAGAATGCTTCTTGACCATTTGTAACTGATTTGATCAGTGTTAAGATTGAGTTGGAGGACTCGCACAATAATAGTAGGTCCTAAATTACTGAGAAGTACTTATTTTTAGAAACATATTTGTTCGCTTTCGATCTTGATCGGGGTGCAGTGATTTTTTGACATTCTAGACAAGAAGAAAAGAATGATTTTCTATGACGGTAGCGATAAAAGGCGAAGAAATTGTCTACATAACCTATGACTCATTGTTGTTGATGCACAATTTTCTTTGAACAAAAATGATGCATTACTTCAGCGATAAAGCTCAAAAATGTCATCAATTTTGAGACTTACAAACTACAACCCACGAGTCTAGACCCCTCGAGGCTGCTTAATCTAGGTATAGTCTCCTGATCACTTCCAGAGAGATTTTTCAATTTGGAACTCTACTTGATTGGTTGATCCGTGTACCTTGCAATTATTGAGTGTTTGAAGGAGTAAATTTCAGCGGATTACAATTTATCAACAGGAATCTTTTCATGTTGTTGGGAAAGATTTCTTTTTCGCAACTGATGTGTGGTATAGGATTCTTGTCCAATCAATGATTCGGCTATTTTGATGCGTTTATTTTCGAGAAGTATTACTATTTGAAAAATTTAATCTACAAGTACGGTAGATGATACAGCTGAACACTGATATAAATATTTCTCAAATTTGAACATTTGCTCTTAGGTTTTTAACGTTACTCTGCTTGTAGCGATGATATTTGGGGTGTTATCTTTTTGGCTTCATGCGACAAGGGTTGGTAAGTATGAGATGAACGTATGTATTATTTCCTCATCATGGCGAATCGTTGGATTGAATTAAATCTAGGTCTATTGAGTTACAGGGGAACTGCTGACTCGTCAAGACCCGGATTGCTAAGTATACAGCCGCCTGACAGTTAAAATAATATTTTGTGGCGATATTGAGTAAATATAGTCATGAAAGTGAGATAATACGGTTGGTAATATGCGATATGTGGGGAATGTGTAGATATGGCACTAGGAGTGTGGAGTGATAAAATGTGTTATGTTCTAAGGATGTAGACACCTCTCAATCGATCAACTAGCTGACTAAGCAGTATTTCCCGATTCATTTCATTGCGAAACATCTTTTTTTTCAAAAAGCTGCGCAGCTTTCCTCGTCACTTTTGTCATAAATTTAATGTCGTGCATACAATTTTATATCTTATTTACTGTCCCCCGTAATATCGCTTTCCGTGCTTCAAAAAGGCAGGTGTAGATGCTGGTGTGGGTAAGTCTAGCGGCTTCGAAACGTTGCAAAATGCGACAATGTCCACCAACATCAACAACAGTGGAGCCCAGACAGCTCCAAGTATTAAGAATCACGTAATGCTGGGGAAATTACTAAAAAAGGTTAGACTTTCGCGATGAGAGAGATGGATGAAGAGGACCTACCAGCCATAGAGGATTTTAACGAAGCCGTGAAAGAATTCTATGGTTGGAGAAGCGTCTGGACGGAAATTTACTTGAAGACATCTCCAATAGAAGAGAGGATGATGGTGTT